TGCGTTTTCTTGGTGGCTCCCAGCCATATCCTTAGCTTTCTAGCCTTTTTGTGTTTAGTGGGGATTTCCATTTAACCCGCTAAAAGTTAAGCTTTTAGCGGGGGATCTGAAAACAACCCAGTTTTTTTTGAGGGCGGGAATCGTGGGCGTGCCTCCGCCTGAGCGAATCAGTTGGTTTCATGCAGGTGGGTTTTGAGAAGAAACATTCCAATTGTGGCTTCACATTTGTGCTTGGCTATGGGTGTGCGTGTTTGGCAGGTAAGAAGGGTTGGATGGACAATCTCAAGGGTGGGGTCAAGCTACGTGTTTCCCATGTCGGCGCGCGCCAGGAGTCGCCTAGAAGATTTTGCGGGTGTCATGTGCAGTTCTTGTGTGAAGGAAAGCCAGGGTGCGCCCCAATCAATTGAGAGCTCTTCAACTCGTCTCGCCCATTGTCAGACTCTTCAACTGCGTACATGTTTGAGGACTCTTCACGAAGGTTCATGCTCTCTGGTGAACCGGGGATCCGGCAACCCGCCCCTCCCTGAAAGACCTCTGCAAAACCATCAACGGCATCATTTGAAGATGCGGCCATGGGTCAAAGTCCCGAGACCCTCAGGGAACATCCCAATCCCGAATCCCCACTAAAATAAGTTCTAAAATGGGTGGTGCACCTACCCCAAAATGGTACCATTGGTTTTGACCCACAGCCATTTGTCGCCTTATATGTGACCAAGCATGTGACCAAGGCTTACAACCCTTGACCTTCGGGCGGCGATGGAGCCTGAGGCGCCACCACCCTGCCCACCGCTGAGTACTACGCCATCCCGGCGTCATTGTGTGGGCGTCATTTTTGGGAAGACCTGTTCAGTGGTGAAGCTAAGTCCAAGCAAAACTCTGAAGAGCCACGAGTTTAGCAAGTTTCACAAATTTGGCCAAGGTTTGTTGAACCCGTGGTCAGGCTTCCTGTTTGGTTTCAATGCAACTGCTTTGGTGAATGGCAAATGGGTCAGAGTAAAGAAGCCCTGCCTTCTTGGAACCTACCCAAAGGCCCAAAGGCTACCTTCTCAAAAGCGCCGGGTCTCGGGATACTTTGTTTGACCATGGGAGGAAGCAAACTGATCATAGAAACCACCACTTCTCTTGATTGATTTCGCAAGCGCAATGCTTGCCTTTGGGCGTGAGTGTGAGTGTTGCAAAGCATGCAAGACAATCATTATCATCGGCAAGTGCGCATTGCGCACGTAATGACCCAAGTGTTTTGCTGTCGCTGATCATTTTAATCAGTCGTCCCAACATGTTGGGGCAGCTAAGCAGCCAACCAATCCTAACAAGCAAGCAACACGCAAGCGAACCACACATTGAGCTGCTGTCATTGCTCCAATGTGAACCTGGCACGATAGCATCAGGTGGAATTTTAGTGGTGTGTCCCTTATTCAGTTGGTCTGTTTTTTTGTTTTTTTCTGGGTGCACTTCCATGGTTGAGCCAGGGTTGAAATCCGCCACAAGTGGCCGCCTCATGGCGAGGTTTGGTCAACATGCCCAGTCTGTGATCTTCTGGCAGGCTCACCAAGTTCTCACAAACCCCACAGCAACGCACAAATTGCCATGTCCACAGGAGCACACGTTGAGCATGCCTGCTATTTTTGGCCAGGCCTGCTACCGCCAGCTTCATGCCGGAGCCAGGAGAGTCGTGTTTTGGTTTCCGGGCAACTGGCGTGGGGCTTGGGTTGACAGACGCCACAGAGTAAAAACACAACACCTGTGTGCCCTATGATTCTTGACTTAGCTTGCATGCCCAGTGAGGTGCAGCAATGCGATAAGAGTGGATGGTGCGACTCCATCAGTTCGAAGTACTTTGCCCTTTCCATACTTGCCGGAACATTGACACCGGCATTTGTCTTGTTCCCCTCGCAATTGTCTCATTCGTCAGGGAAGGGTTCTGGAGAAGGAGAGGTGACCGTCCATCGCACCTCGCCACTTCAGGGCGGTAGGCAAATGGCTGTGGGTCAAAACCAATGGTACCATTTTGGGGTAGGTGCACCACCCGTTTTAGAACCTATTTTGGTGGGGATTGGGATGTTCACTGGGGGTACGGGCTTTTGACCCATGGCCAAATGAGATGGACTTGCACTTCGCCTGGTCAACCGAGGTTGCAGTAGGCATGTTCGCGCACACATATTCAATCTGCTCAATGCAGCTGAGGGAGGGCTTGCTGGCGTGTGTGTGTGTGTGTGTGTGTGTGTGTGTGTGTGTGTGTGTGTGTGTGTGTGTGTGTGTGTGTGTGTGTGTGTGTGTGTGTGTGTGTGTGTGTGTGTGTGTGTGTGTGTGTGTGTGTGTGTGTGTGTGTGTGTGTGTGTGTGTGTGTGTGTGTGTGTGTGTGTGTGTGTGTGTGTGTGTGTGTGTGTGTGTGTGTGTGTGTGTGTGTGTGTGTGTGTGTGTGTGTGTGTGTGTGTGTGTGTGTGTGTGTGTGTGTGTGTGTGTGTGTTTTTGGGGGAATGCTTCAGAATTCTTAAAGGTTATGTTGTTGAGCGCACGGGGAAAGCAATTACTCTAGACTGGCTTCCACTTCGCCAAAACCACTACAGATTTGTGGGATGTACAGCCACCAATATGGCCACAAAAGGTACATATACCTGATGTCCCTTGGGTGTAGTAGTTTCGGGGTAGAAACTACTTCCATTTGCTTAAAAATATTTGATGTTTTCCCCTGTTGGTTCAAAAGGAAATTTATTACTGCAAATATGCTATATTTTTCCAGGGGGCGAAAACACAAATGGAAGACTATCTTAGATTAGCCCCAAGACTTTCCATTTTGCAGCTTGGCCTCGTGTGAACGCCCCGTCGCTCGCATTTTTGCGCAGGGCTGTGCTTCGACCACGTGCCCACCTTTCACACCCACCAGGTGCGGAAGAGATTGAGTCCCGTGTGCCATTGCAAGGTACTTGAGCCACAATCAAAACCCGGGTAGATGAAGGTTAGCAAGGGAAGATCCCAGCCATAAATAGCTGCGGCCGCCTTCTAAATCATTTTTATGGTTCTGGGTCGACCATTTTTCACTTGAAGGAAATAACGCGCCTTGGAGAGGCTGAGGAGAATCCTTAGATGTCAGGATGACCCGATTGAGAAACAACGATGCTTGCGGCTGCAAACCAATGCTTAATTTGTTTAGCAGGGGCCGGCCTGCGCTTTGTCCGTTGCCTGCTGTGGTTGATTTGTGAAATGCAGGTGCAGGCATTGCTTAGCAAGGCAGATGGTTCTCCCGTTCACTCCTTTGCAAGCGCAAAGGTAGTCCGTTTGCATGTTGGTAGCACTGAGAACTGAGAATCGGTGATTGCTCGGCCCGGTTCAAGGAAGAACAAGCATGATCTTTGCATGTTCGTCTTGAGAACCAAGGAAAACAACGCCTTTTTCGCCGTCACGGGTGCAAGTAAATAAGTGTATACACCTCCAGGTATGTGTGTGTGCGTATATGTACAAGGCATTGCTCGAAAATCCAGACTGGACATTTGCAGCTGGAGTTCGCCCTGCGCTTTGGACTCTCTGCGAATCGGCCTGTGCACCTGGGGTTCCCTTTGGACGTCCAGGTCTAAACAAAGACCATCCAGGAATGACGGGCCAAGCTTCGAGTTATCAGGGGTCGATTCCATAATTTTCCCCTTTTTGGTGGTTTTAAACATCGCCTTTCTTGCACATGAAAGGTGAGTATCCCTTGATGGGGGATATTTTTTTTGAGGGCAACATAGGGAGCCCTGTCTTTCCAGGTTAGGGCCAAGACCAAGGAATCCACCGCCGACTTTCCCAAACTCCTCGGCGTTTCTCGCGAGTTGAGAACGCCTCCCCCCCAAAAGAAAGACTACTACTCCTCCTCCTATGACTACTACTCCTACTCCTACTCCGAGCCCTAATTTTAACCCCGTACCTACTCCTACTCTTCCTACTTCTCCCCCTACTCCTCCCCCTACTCCTCCCCCTACTCCTCCTCCTCCCACTCCTCCTCCCGCTCCTCCTGTTGCCCGAAGCAGGCAGTGGAGCAGAAGCTGCTGGAGCAGCTGAGAGAACCGCAGGCCACGGCACTCGGAGCTCGGAGCTCGGCGCTGTTGGTGTGTGGTTGCTTTTTTTTGTTTTTCTCAGGTGCTCTTTGACCAATCCAAACCACCAATTAGGGGGAAAATTATGTTCCATTAGCTGTGAGCTGAGCATATTTGTTTTGGTTCAGTTTTCCCTTGGTGGTTTTAAAGGGAATCCATCACTACTGGGCATATACTTTTTTTGTTCCAGGGGGCGAAAACGCAAATGGAAGTTGAAAGGTCGGTGCTGAGAGGTGCTCTTTGGACATGTTCAAGCGGGTGTTTGATTCAGTGTCGAGAAAAACGTCACCCTGTTGGTACCGCTTCCCTATGCTTCTCCATTCATTGAAATGGTGCGGGTTTCCTCCAGAACACAGTCTTTTTGCAGAGACCGCCTACAAAACAAAATCTTGCAAGGCTAGATCCTGGCAATGGTTCAATCGTGGGTGGAGCGCAATTGGGACAAACAAATATAGATATATATATATATATATATATGTGTGTTACATACATCGGATGTGCGCAGAGGATAGTATGTGATTTGCGCATCGGCTCGAGCCACGCATCAACTGTGTGCTTTCTCTGGAACTCTGCTCGTGTTTCCGACTCACGCCCACGTTGCCCTTAAGTAACGAACAACGGATACGGACATGGCTGTGGCTCAAAATTAAACAGGAGGGGTTACGCAGGTTTTGGTCCATGTTTCCACTTACCAGGGTTCCATTTTGGTACCGGTTTTTTGAGCCACAGCCACATGGGCCTTGTTGTGGAGACGTTTTTCATTCAAGCCCGGCCAGAAATCAGAGTACGCCGTCCTCCGGCTCCAACTGCGACCGTTCCTGCTTCTACTGCTGACCGAACCTAACCTAACCTAACCTAACCTAACCTAACCTAACCTAACCTACCTACCTACCTACGTACCTACCTACCTACCTACCTACCTAACCAACCACTGCTACTACTACTACTACCACTACTACTACCACTACTACTACCACTACTACTACCACTACTACTACCACTACTACTACCACTACTACCACTGCTGCTAGGAATGCTCCTACCGCTACTACTTCTGCTACTCCTAGTACTTCTACTACTACTCCTCCTCCTCTTACTACTGCTACTCCTACTCCTAACCCTAATCCTAATCCTACTCTTACTGCTTCTCCTCCTACTCCTCCCCCTACTCCTCCTACTCCCACTCCTCTTCCTCCCCCTCCTGCTCCTGTTCTGGCTTCTGCTTTTGCTCCTGTTGCTGCGCACGGTTTTTGGACAGCCTGCACCATCCAGGCTTGCCCATTTGGCTCCTGCGGCGCTGGTTTGAAGCTTGTTGATACACGTCAGCATCTCTCGGCGCCTGCGAGGCGGCCACAGAAACCGAGCCAGCCGAGCCGCCGCAACCTGAGCCTCAGCCGCGGCCCCGGCGAAAAGCTGTGCCTCACTCCCAAACTGGACGCCACGAAACGTACCACCCAGAGCTAGCCGCCTCATGGATGGGGCATATGCACCAGTGATACTATCCATGCCCCATGATTTTGTGCGTGTGTTCTCCACGTCCGGTTTTCCTAGGCGATGCGAGGCAGTATTCGGAGAAGAGACTCAGACGGGTGTTGCTTTTCAGGCTTATCAACATGTCGGTTTCCTTATGCTCCCCCGACCCTTGTCAAGAGGATTGCGGCATTGCTTGGGTTTCTTTGCAAGAGGTGAATTGCATTGCCCACATTGCTCTCGCAGCGCATTCAGACTTGGAATTGTTGGCCAGAAGGGGATGCGCTCAGCACATTCCAGCTTTGAGACTCAGTGCAAGCCACCAAGTCACAGTGCAGAAATCTCCCCCGGCCAATGTGCATGGCTGACATGTCGGTACCAGATATTTGGTGTTCAGAAACTCATGGGCTTGTCTTTGTCTATTGCGACCCTTGTGAGATCGGTTTTACGGGAAACCAAATGGGACACCTCAGGCCCACACGTCCGTCCTCGGCTGTCGCTTGGGACTTCTATACGTGCTGCAAGAGCCCAACTTTCCAAGCGGCAGATGGAGATGCCTTCAAAGATGACTTCTCCGCATCAGTCGCAAGAATTCGTGCTTTTGCCAGGCATGTCATAACTCAAGCACATGGGATGCTGGAGCAACTGAGCCCAAGAACCCCTTGGGCTCGGGCCCAACGCCGGCGCATTGGCTCGAGGCCGACAGCGTTCGACCTCCTTCAGGCCAGGACCGCATGGAGATGTTGGCAGCCTAATCCACAAGATCTGTCCAACTTGTTGCCTTGACTGCTATTGGGCACGGATCTTTTTCGACTTGAACTTTTTGGTTGAAATCAAGTTGGGAATTCCACGAAACCCGCAAAATGCTCAACTTTGTGCAGAGGGATCAGCAGCAACCAAGTTGCGAGGAAGATGATTTTAGAGGAAGCCTTTTTCACGCCAAATGGTCGCCAGAGAGTCTCTGAAGGCGCGTAACTCCGGCAAACTGGCCGAATGGCTTTACCCAGCACTCTTGTTTGACTACAGGATGAGACCTGGGGAATCGACATGTTGAAGGAGACAAACATGGCGATCATGATTCCTGCATTTGGTGAAGCTGCAGCGCTGCGGCCCTTTGCGTGGCAGAGCTCATCAGATGCGTGAGCGTTTGCTCCCGAGCGCTTCTTCCCCATGCGCAACATTTCACAGGGTTGCGCAGGCAGAAGTACTGAATAGAATAGTTACTGCTTACACTCGTTACACCAGCGGCCGCGAGTTTGAGCCCAAGAGCGCCCAGAACTGCGACACAAGTTGCATGAGGGCCATAGGAGTGTATGTTTTTGGAGAGCTGCTTGTATGCACGCTTGAGCACATCAGCCGTGCTCTGTGAACTGCGCAGCGCAATCGCAATCTGAATGCTCTCGCACAGCAGAGTTGTGCGGGGAGCATTATTGCAGAGCAGACGCCTTGCGCAATAAACTTACTCTTGAAGAGAACGTGCGCACTGCAAACTTTCACAGAGCAGACTATGCGCAAAGTGCGTTCGCCAGTTGGCCGACTCGCGCAGTGCGGAGCACAGGGCATGCTCAAGCTGCAGACTTATAAAGGGCACCCTTGCGCAGAAGCTTTCAACAGATGCCAGGAACCAGGGACATTGCGCTTTGTCGGACACCCCCTCACTACTCATATGGGGGACCACCCCGGCGAGGACCAGCGCTTGGAGGCAGATGTGGCTGCACCTGAGCAGGCTGGATGATCAGGCATTTTTCGGTCATGGGATATGTGCAGGAATGATTGCTTTTTGTAGCTGTCACTTGACCCGCTGGTGAAAGATGTGGCTGCAACATGTGGCCCCGCACATGGCCAAAGACTGACTGTACTACTGAACGTTCCGCATTTCTATAGGTACCCTTCAAGATGCGATTTGTCATACAGCTTAATCTTGGGCTTCTGTTACTGTAGGTGGAAGTGTCGGATGGGTGTCAGAGGCAGAACTTAGTCCGCTTGGCTATTTGGCCAGCTCTGAACGGCGGTGGGTCGACAACTGAACTGTCGCTGCAAGTTGGGCGAACACGGCGCTGCCAACCCACGATGTCGACCCTCCCTCCAAAGGATAGGCTGACATTCAGAAGCGAGCGAATAGCGAAACCGCTGTGCACACGGTGGCAAACAAGGAGCCTAGCTTCACGGCGCCTTTGTGATTGAAACGTGTTTTCAGCCATTTGCCTCGTTAGCCATGATGCCAGTGCTTGAGTTGTATGCATGCTGCTGGTTTTACGCAGGCGTGTAGGCCAGACATGTTTCATCAGGCCTGACAGGAAATTGTAGCAGGCCAGCTGAAGAAGGTGTGCCATGGGTGGGTGAAAAGTTGAAGCAAAGGGTGCCGCTCACATTTGTGGGACAGAATTGTGTTTGTTTGGCTTGCAGATTGCCAGCACGATTGACGCCGCAAAGCGCGTTTTTAGCACTGGGGTGTGCCTCCTATTCGAGTTTGGGTCCCACCACGAACCGTGCCAGGACGCAAAGCCTGAGGAACAAAAGAAGCGACTCGCCAGAAGGGATTGAGCACGTGGCCAGACATTCTTGCAAGGTCTAGGTTCAAAATGTTATTCCTTACTCCTTTGATAGTGGTTTCCCTCGTCCAACAAGGTGTGAGGTTGGAGTGCGCCTGTATTGATTTGGCAGGTGTCGCTTGCCTGGTAGAGTCGTCGGGTATGCACATTCGGTGCTTCTGCTGAGGCGCCGGCGGAGACGCCGCGGCAAGCGCAAGAGCCAGCGGGCGCAGGCCCCCGATGTTTTGTTTTTTTTTTCTCCCCCCTCCGCGGGCTGCAAATGGTCAGACACGCGGCCTCCACCTTCCTTCCCCCAGACGCAGAATGTGGGAGTATTCTGCCAATCGAGCCACAGGATGAAAACAGCTTGCCAAAGTTGAACGGGGGGCTCCGCTTCGCGTCAAAAAAAGGGGTGCGTGAGCCCAAGGCGTTTAGATGAAGTCGCTGGCACTTTTGGGACAAGGGCAGGGATCGGCAGAACAGTGTTCTTTGATTTGTTTGCTTGCTACATAAATTCTAACTCATCAGGGACAGAGAGGGGTTAAATTGAGATTAAAGAGTTTGCTGGAGGCTTGTGGTTTTCTCCCTGTTGGTTCTTCTAATGGCACTTAGTTGCCATTTTGGAATGTCAGCCCGAAACTTGGCCTTGATTTTGAATGCCGCATGCTCTCTACGGCATGATGATAGCGGGACCGCTTGTTAAAGACGCGCTCCTATCGTGGCCCAACCTGACCGTCCCCAAAGGCATGTAAGGAGCAGATCCTTCGTGGTGAGGCAGCTTCAGATGTGTTCAGCTCAATCAATGCTTTTTAGGGCAAGAGCCGAATGCATGCCTGATGCTGTTTGAAGTAGCAATAAAGCCCCATGGGAAGACATAAGACTTTGGTGGTCCAACATGTCCACCTTAGAGTTCGTTTTTTCTGCGCCCCGAAGATGGTGGTAGACACCCGGGCTCAAAGAAGCTGGTTGAACCAAGGGGTTGCTTTGGCGTGGGATGCTTCGGAGCGCTTTTCGCGCTGTTGTTGCTTTGATCGAAGCTGGCGGGTGGCAACAACTGACACACATGGAAATACACATCGTGCAGTCGCGGGATTCTGCAAAGGCCAGGATTTCTGTGCCGGCTTTTGGGCGAACTCGTGTCTAGACAAAACTCGCCTCCGGCATGTGGCCAAAATCCCAGGCAACAACCGAGAAGCTCCAGCACACCGATGGTCCGGTAAACGCGGGAAAAACTTGGGGGTTGATGTGGAAGAGCCCACTCTGCAAATGACGTTGGGTAAGGGTTCTGCATATCCTACGTGCTGCTTTTCAAGATATGGCTGTGGCTCAAAAAGCCGGTACCGAAATGGACTGGTAAGTGGAAACCTGGACCAAAACCTGCGTAACCCCCCCTGTTTAATTTTGAGCCACACCCATATCCAAGGAATTTGCAGCTGTCTCCCCCTTTGCGGCGCGGGCAGTACACGAAACCTGCACTACGCAAAATATTTATCGCAGTGAGAACGCAGAAGCAAAGCTTATGGAGACATCCGCTTCAAGCACCCGGGGCTCCAGGACAATCCACTGGTAGAAAGACAAGTTCCCCCCTACTGGATTTGTGTAGGCAAAAGTCTAAGACTGGGTCTGTCACAAAGTAGGAATCCGATTGCACAGACGCCAAAAGGAATCCAAGCAGGTTTGGGGGTCCAATTCCTGTTTTCAGACACGCCCGCTTCTTCAACGCATGTGTTGTTCCCGCTTGGTTCGAGGCATTGTCTACCAAAGTGGGCTGGCTGGGCCAATAGGTTGAGCGCTGGGATTTGGCTAGCTTTTGACAGGTTGGTGAAGTTGCTGGTGAGAATAGCTCGCCAAGGCAAAAAGAGCAAGTTGACCTGAAATGACCTGTTGGCTTCTCTTTTTGGCAACCTTTTTTTGGTCCCAGAGGGTGATGACCTTTTATTTCTGGCTTATTTGGGGGCAACTGACGTAGGGAGTTAACAGGGGTTTGGGGAAACTCTAAGGAAACGATCAGATGGTTCAGTTCCCTCATTCCCTGAGAGCCAAGTCACAATTAAATTTAAGGAAGCTGACAGGGACTGGACGGCCAATTTTCCTCTCTCTTTTGAAGTTCTGTGTTTAGTTTTGGGAGGGTAATCCTTATACCAGATGCTGGTTTCCCTTGTTGTGGTGTTCAGGAATTATCCTTGTTCTGTTTTCCCAACAACCACTCTGGGGTTGGGTTCTCGTTTAGTTATCTAACCGCAAGGGAGCGAGGTTTGGCAGGGGTTCGGCCTGAAGTGTACAATGTTTGCAGCATGCCGTGTAAACGCCACTGGCTGGGAAATGGCCGAACAGGCGGCCTGCCGGCTGAATTGCCGGCAAGAACGGGACCGGTCTCAAGTGTGCCGAGTTGACCGCATACCGCAGGGCCGAGTTTGCAGCATACCGCGCAAGCGCCGCCAAGAACGTGACCGGTCTCAAGTGTGCCGAGCTTTGCCGAGCTTACCGCATACCGCAGGTGGTCGGTTGGGCTTCAAGTGTGCCGAGTTTGCAGCATACCGTGCCAGCGCCGCTGGCGGGGAAATGGCCGAACGAGCGGCTTGCCGGCTGAATTGCCGGGACGACCTTGACTGTCGGTGAGTGTGCCGGCTGAATTCCAACCAGCGCCGAGGTAACAGGAGGTGCCGGAGGCCGCGTGCGGCTTGCCGGCTGACTTGCCGGGACGACCTTGACTGTTGGCGACTGGGCCGCGCGCAGGTGGGATTTGGTCCAGAGGCGCAGCGATAAAGAGGCGCGGTTGTCCGTGTGCCGGTGAGATTTGGCTCCAGGAAAGCAGCGAGAACGAGCTGGGGTCAGCCGTATGCCGGTAGGATTTCGCTTGGCGGAGGCAGCAAGGATGGAGGTGACGGCGGCGTGTGCCGGTGGGATTTGCTTCTGCGGATGCAACCAGCGCCGAGGTGACGGGAGGTGCTGGAGGCCGCGTGCCGGTGGGATTTGGCCCACAGAGGCGCAGCGATAACAAGGCGCGGTCGTTTGTGCGCCGGCGGGATTTGGTGGGATTTGGCTTGGCGGAGGCGGCAAGGATGGAGGTGACGGCGGCGTGTGCCGGTGGGATTTGCTTCTGCGGATGCAACCAGCGCCGCGAGGTGACGGGAGGTGCTGGAGGCCGCGTGCCGGTGGGATTTGGTCCACAGAGGCGCAGCGATAAAGAGGCGTGGTCGTTTGTGCGTCGGTGGGATTTGGCTCCAGGAAAGCAGCGAGAATGAGCTGGGGTCATCCGTGTGCCGGTGGGACTTGGCTTGGCGGAGGCGGCAAGGATGGAGGGAGGTGCTGGAGGCCGCGTGCCGGTGGAATTTGGTCCACAGAGGCGCAGCGATAACGAGGCGCGGTCGTTTGTGTGCCGTGGGAGCTGGGGTCATCCGTGCGCCAGTGGGATTTGGCTTGGCGGAGGCGGCAAGGCTGCGGCGTGTGCCGGTGGGATTTGCTTCTGCGGATGCAACCAGCGCTGCAAGGTGACGGGAGGTGCTGGCGTGCCGGTGGGAATTGGTCCACAGAGGCGCAGCGATAACGAGGCGCGGTCGTCCGTGTGCCGTGGGAGCTGGGGTCATCCGTGCGCCGGTGGGATTTGGCTTGGCGGAGGCGGCAAGGCTGGAGGTGACTGCGGGATTTGCTTCTGCGGATGCAACCAGCGCCGAGGTGACGGGAGGTGCTGGAGGCCGCGTGCCTTTGGGAATTGGTCCACAGGCGCAGCGATAACGAGGCGCGGTCGTCCGTGTGCCGGTGGGATTTTTTGCTCCAGAAAAGTAGCGAGAACGAGCTGGGGTTATCCGTGTGCCGGTGGGATTTGGCTTGGCGGAGGCAGCAAGGATGGAGGTGACGGCGGCGTGTGCCGGTGCCCGCAAGAAGCTCCGAGAAAACGTGACAAACCATGGCTTGTCTGCCACCTAAGAGCTTTTGCTGCTTGCAAAGACCCAATTGTCCGTGGAGCCCTCAAGGGGCCATAGCAGAAAGGCATAATCCACGCAGCAGCACGGTCTGCCTGTGTCGCCCACGAGCTCCTGCCTGCAAACTGCTTGGGCAAGCAGTTCGCTGACAGTCATTCACAAATAGTTGTTCGCATCTTGGTTTTTGGGTTTCCCGGCTCTCCTTGTTTAATTACTGTTTTAGTTTGAACAACTCACACCAGGCCGGGGATGACGATGATGAGTCAGAGGTCGACGAGACACTTGGGCAGCATTTTGTGCCAATTTGGTCAAGCAGATCACCCTGTCCACTTGCTCCATACTGTGGATGGACAAAAACCTGCACCACCTTGAAACCATTGCTGGTTGGTATTTGCAGACGAATCGTCATCCAGGGATCGTGAGGGGCGCAATGGATTTCATCCACCCACAGTATGGTCAAATTACAATGCACGTGGAGTCCAGGGAAGCCCCGAATTTGTAGTGGTCTACCATGGTGGTTGGGTTGCCTGAAATTCGGTGCGGATGTGACCCATTCAGTGGCACGGAGCGGCATGATCATCTCTCAGATCATGCTCGCAGCAGGTTGGATATTCGAGGGTTTTCCCGTGCCATCAGCCTGTGTTTCGTTGACGATAGTGTGAGCAGTGCCCAACACCCCATTTGGTTTGTGAATGCGATAGCAGAGAGGGCGCATGTTCTTATCCTTGAGGCTTGAAACAGGGATCCGGTACTATGCACGCCCTTCAAGCTTGGTCATGTCGTATCATGCTCATTTCATTTGCCTCGTCCCAACTCGCTTTGCTACAACCTTTGCGCACAACATTGTCACAGCAACAAGGGGAACCACAGGGAGGATCCTCGCAGTGGCCCTCTTTAGTTCGAGGCTTCGGCTGGCCTCATGCCCTCTTGTTCTTTGCCGGCTGGTCATGACCAGGCCTTTACCAAAAAAAAACATTTTGGACTTCTGGCTGCGCCCGAGACTGCCAAGCCACCCCCTTCACACCGCGTTTCAGCCCGATATGGCTACCTCTACGGTTCTCTATGGTGAGCGCCCGCCAAAAGCTCTCCGCGCGCAGGGATGAGAAGCAGGAGGCCAGCGGGTGGATTCGCCCAAGTTTGTTAAGGATCCAGCTTCGCAGCGCTGGGGTGCTAAATGGCCCTAAATTTGTTTGTTGCCCAAAAGCATGCCAAAGTGGGTGGGTAAATGAATTTGCTAGCTTGCCAGAATCAAACCACAATGGGTGGGTAATGGATTGGTTTTCAAAGCCAGCGGCTCGGCTCAAGTCTATTTTGCCTGGAAATAGAGATGCCGCAGATCCCAACTGGGGTTGGGCAACGCGCCTTGGGTCTCATTGACCAGCCTGTCCTGCCAAGATGCATGTTGAATATGAGCATGTTCGGCCGAGCGTGCAGGCAGAAGGACTGCACTTTCCTTGGTGCTCAGTATGAACCAGTGCTGCTCTTATGGTGATTCCCCATTGCGCCACGGCGAAAAGTTGGGTATAGGCTAGGGCCAGCGAAATATACTCAAGGCCGGCCAAGCCAATGGCTATTTTATCAAGGCCGGCCAAGCCCAATGGCTGGCAAATTTCATATGACCCCACACGAACTCATTTTTAGCCGATGAGCTAAAACCTTGGTTCCGCTAGCTTTCTGAAGCTTTAAGTAATAGTAAGCTGTGATTGCCTTTTCAGCCGTCAATTGAAACCTGGCCGCGCCCTTGCATTAAATCAGAGTTTCACCTATTATCTTGCTCTGTCCCGGGAGGCTTTCTGATTCTTTACCATGGTCGGAGTATTTAGCGTCTGACATTCCTGGGCCCAACGTGAGAGCGAGAGAGGGGGAGATTTGGACAGCGAGCGGTTCAGAAATCGGCTATGAGCTCTCCCCTTGCCAGGCCATAGAGGTCGGGCGCGAGGAAAAGCCGACGGAGGAGAGCGCAAGGGGAGGCTGATGTGGCCAGTGGCTCCTACAAACCCGGCCCCAAAGATCCTCATTTGGCAAATACTAACTTTGCATTCTGGTTTGCAAGATGAGCCAGGCTAGGACCTTGTAAACATCAGGCGAGTAGTATGTTTTGAGTGTGCGGGGATCCTTAGCTTCAAAGGCTACCTTGTTGTACTATTCACAAATGGCTGGGTGTTCATCGCAGCAAACTGTTTGTTGGGCGCCACTTGTGGCTTCGCTGAGCGACTTTTTGCTTGTGAAAGCTTTCCTCTCACACACACACACACTCACACACACAGACACACAGACACACACGCACAAACGCAAACCCAAACACAAACACACACACACAAACACAAACACAAAAAACACAAACACACAAACACAAAAACACAAAAAAAAACACAAACACACAAACACACACAGACACACACAGACACACACAGACACACACAGACACACACAGACACACACAGACACACACAGACACACACACACACAGACACACACAGACACACACAGACACACACAGACACACACAGACACACACAGACACACACAGACACACACAGACACACACAGACACACACAGACACACACAGACACACACAGACACACACAGACACACACAGACACACACAGACACACACAGACACACACAGACACACACAGACACACACAGACACACACAGACACACACAGACACACACAGACACACACAGACACACACAGACACACACAGACACACACAGACACACACAGACACACACAGACACACACAGACACACACAGACACACACAGACACACACAGACACACACAGACACACACAGACACACACAGACACACACAGACACACACACACAGACACACACACAGACACACACACACAGACACACACACACACACAGAACACCCAACACACACCAACACCAACACCAACACCAACACAACACCACAACACCACACCAACACAACACAACACAACACAGCACAGCACAACACAACACAACAACACACACACAACACACACACACAAACACACACACACACAAACGCACACACACACACACACAAACGCACACACACACACACACAAACGCACACACACACACACACACAAACGCACACACACACACAAACGCACACACACACAAACGCACACAAAGACACACACAAAGACACACACACAAAGACACACACACAAAGACACACACACACACACAAAGACACACACAAAGACACCCACACACAAAGACACACACACACACACACACAAAGACACACACAAAGACACACACACAAAGACACACACACACACACAAAGACACACACACAAAGACACACACACACAAAGACACACAAAGACACACACACAAAGACACACACACAAAGACACACACAAAGACACACACACAAAGACACACAAAGACACACACACACACACAAAGACGCACAAAGACACACACACACACACACACACACAAAGACCCACACACACAAAGACACACACACACACAAAGACACACACAAAGACACACACAAATACACACAAAGACACACACAAAGACACACAAAGACACAAAGACACACAAAGACACACACACAAAGACACACAAATACCGTCTCTCTCTCACTCTCTCTCTCTCTGACCAGCCTCAGGAAGTGCCAGATCGCCTGAAGGTGAGTGCTGGCGAAGAGGTCGCCCCAGTTGGGGCCTCAGACGCGCTCTGGGCCCTTGTGAGTTTTTGTTTTTCCTCCTGGTTGCTCGCCAAGACCTCCAGTGGCGCCCTCTCTTCCTCTGTTTCCTCTACCACTGGAGGTTTGGGTTCCGCGGCTCCGATCTTTGCCGAAGTTGGTCCAAATGACGCGCAACACGCAAAGACCTTTTTCCCCACGTGAAGTGCTGCAGGGTGAAGACTGCGGTGATGCACCAGGGCCTTGAGGTTGATGCTCCGTCCGTTTGCTTGGGCTCAGCCACTTCTGAATGTCAAACGCTGCCACGCGAGGCAAGCCAAAGAGGTGCGCAGCAATGTTGGCTGGCTGGCGTTTGCTTTGAGCAGACCGCTCTTCACATCTCCTTCATTGTGATCTCTCTTGTTTTGCCTCGGGGAAGGCGAATGTGGATCGCTGGCCAATACCCTCACAAAATATTCGCTATTCTCTAAGTATGGGCGTAGGCTTTCTTTCTTCCAAGGCGACCCCCTTTATTCAATAACTTGGCTATGAGTCAGGTAGCGAAGAGCATCTGCCAAACTCTGACGAAAGGGACATTTGAAGATGACCTGCCCCAAGAGCCCTGTCCACTGCAATTTTCAGCAGTCAAGTCGCAGCATTTACACCAGTCGCCCGGTGTTGCACTTTGATCCTCTCTTTGTAGCCAACAAAAATTGGAGATTCCAGCAGGCAAGGGCGGAGATGAGTTCATCCAGCTGACTAGTTGGAAGTGCCCTGCTGCCTGGAGGTTTCTGGAAATCCAGTCTCAGCTCACAGAGGCTTTTGCGCTTGAGGTCCATGTGGCTTTACGAAAATCACACGATGTGCCGGGGTTTAGGTGAGCAGAAACCAGAAAGAAACCGGGCTTGCAACATCGAACGGCAAGGAATATGCCCCCCCCGTTTGGCAAAGACTAAACTGTGGACCCGAAGCCCTCAACGCTCATCGCCCTGCTGAATCTTTAGAACCTGGCAGGTAATGCGAATTGACCCAGCCCTTGCGGCTGGGGAGAATGGCTCTGCTGTCTCCTTTTTTGGCGACGTGGAAAAACCACGAGCCGCTCGAGTGCAGACTTGGGGTGTCAGCTTGCCCCTGGCAGATGCGTGGGGATCCGTGCGTAGCAAAGGCCTTGTTAAAAACGGCTTCCCTTTTCAGGAAAACGTCAGGCGTGCCATTCAAAAATTCAGGACTTAGGACTTAAGGACGCAGTCTTTAATCTTTTTCATGGGTGTGCAGTTTTTGGCTCGCGCAGGTGCTAGTTTTTAGAGTCGGAGGGTTCTCCCTTGCGCGCAAAAAGTGTTGCGATGGAGGATGCCAGAGTGGAGGAGGCCTTCCGCACTATGGATCACGAGAGCTTCTCGAGGATGATGTGGCACATTGGCAAAGCTGCGATTGTGGCCACATGCATCCTCGGCTTGATGATGTGCCTTGCTGTGGCAAAGGGTTGGCGCCTGGGGCGCGGCGGTGAGAAGCCAGGTTACGTCGTGCCCAAGCGAGTCTGGATCACTCTCCTGCTGCCGAATGCGCTGATGCACGCGTGTGGAGGCCAGCAAGAGGAAAGATATGGAAAGTACCTACCTGAGACAGATGACTGTACTACAAGTAGCTGCCCCCAACTGCCCTAACTTGTGTCGGGTGACCGAAACTTGTGACGTTGGCCTATCCAGGTGGGGGTTCACATCATGAAATCATGTAGTAAGGCCCAGGAAAAGCAGTTAAACCGTGTCTCCAGGTTGGGGGCGGGTGAGGGGAGTCTCCAATATGTTGTCCAGGTGGGGATATATCACATCACTGAAAGCAGTTACACTGTTACACCGCATGTCCAGGTGGGGGCCGGGTGAGGGGAAGTTCAGTTGAACATCTTGTCCAGGTGCGGACTTGCATGTTGCAAAGCGTCTCGCCTCATTGCACGGGGTTGATTGAAACCCTGTGCACGTCTATCTGCTGTTGCTGCTGAATGTTTTGTCATTTTCTTTAAGTTTCGGTGAAGGGCATGTCCAGGTGGCTGCTCTAAGTTTCGTCGCCCTTCCGACTTGTAGTTAGAGAGCGTCTTTGAAAAGAGCGTGGCGGTTCTCCGGAAGTTATCATATTTTGCAAGAGTGTGGCATCTAGCAAGTATATTCACGAATTATTTTAAAGTCGTGGAGTTAAACAGGACGCGGCGTGTCGTGTTTGTAGGACCATGCGTCATCATGCGGCGTGCGCGGATGCGGTTTGCATGATGCATGGTGCTTGCATGACTTGTGCATTCGGGGGTCTCAGAACGGCTCTTGAAGCGCTCCTATTTGTCACTCTTAGTTTGGGGCCTGTCGCCGGGACGGTAGTGCTCTGAGCTTGCATCACTCGCGCCTTTTGGGAGGCTTGCTGCTGGTGGCCGCGCCTCAGTATGTGATGTCGAGCAGCGGCGGCGACGCAAGCGACGCTGGCATCGTCGCGGGCTCCTTCGGCCTGGGCTTGGTCATGGCGAACCTCATCGCCTTCAAGCTGGGCAACCTGTTGCCTGCGTGGCTCATGTGCATCGTGGCGGCGATCACAGGCCTGGTCGGTGTTCTTTTGGGTGGCCTCCTCTCGGGGCCTGATGTCCGCATCTACGGACTTGCAGCAGTGGCCGCGCTGGTCGGCTTTGCCCAGTCCCTGCACGTGGTCGCAAGGACATTTTACCAGGCTGAGGTGGTCAGAGATGGGCAGGCCTTCGTTTCGGGGTGGGTTAGTGCTTCCAACATCGTGGGCATCGCCGCAGCTGCGTTGGCGACGTCCTTCGTGGACTGCACAAACTACACCCACCTCGGCCTCCTTTGTGGTGGGGGCCTCCTTGCGTACGGGTGCTTGGTCACTCTTCTCACCTGCTGCAATGCAGCCGCCGACATGCGAGAGCAAACGAGGACTGCTCTTCAGCAGAAGCAGGCTGGTTCTCCACCAGTAGATTTAGTGCCGACAGGCGTCCTACCAGGGAAGGCAGCGAAATGTGAAGTCAGCAGAAGTCAGCAGAAGTCCACAAGCCCTTGGTTGTCTGGGGACTTCTGGAAGGTGTGCTTCCTCATCTTCACCATGGCCATTGCGAGGGAAGCCCAGAAGTTCCTGATCCCCCTGGTTGGCGCAGAGGCTGAGATCCACACCAGCTTTGTCGGAAACGTGGCCTTCATGTCGCAGATGGAGTCCTTGGTTGCGGCGCCCGTGGGCGGTTTCCTCATGGAGAGCCTGGGCATCCTGCCGCTGGTCTTGGTCTCCCTGCTCATGTCCGCGGTGGGGATTCAGGTGCTTTGCATGCCTGGGGTTGGCTTTTATGTGCAGGGCGCCAGCCTGCTGGGGCTCGCCTGCGGCTTGTGCGCTGGTGCCGCCATCGCCCTGTCCATCCTTTATGCGCCACAGGGCCGAACGAAGACCTTCATCAACGGGTGCCGATTCTTCAACTCGGCAGCCGACGTTGTGATCCCCTTCGTTGTTGGGGCGCTTGCAGAATCTTCCGGGATCCTTCTTGCCGGCAGCAGCCTGACCCTCTCAATGCTGGGCTCGATTTGCATCGCGCTCTTTGCGTTCAACTTGCAACTTCTCTTCTCCAGTGACTCCGTGAAGGACGTAAGGGTGCCTTCCATGGATTTTGTGATTCCGCTGAAAACCATGGGGCCCTTCACGCGCACTGTCCTCGAGGCCATTCACTCGCACTATGCGCCCAGGCAGATCTTCATCGTTTGCAAGCAGGACACGCGCGAGGCGGTCTCACAGGCAATGGTGAACTGGGGCCTGCCCCGTGGCAAGATTTCCTTTGTTGACGAGGACTCCTTCTTCCAAAGAGCCATGGGCTTCAGCCGAGAGGACCTGAAAAGGTCCTGGACCAGCACCGGCCCCCGTGACTTCGGCTGGTGGTGGCAGCAGTTGCTGAAGCTCGGAGCTGGAAGCTGCATCGAGAACATCTCCGAGAATTTCTGTGTTTGGGATGCAGACCTCATCGTCCTCGAGCCTTGGCCGCTCATGGGCGTGGACGGCCAGTGCTATGTCGCTCCTCTTCAAGAGGCGTACCTGTCTGACCGCCATCAAGAAGCCTATGAGTCAAATGCTCGGCACGTCCTGAAAATGGATCCCACGAACCCAAGCAAGGGTGGCACCTGGATTGCGCACCACATGGTCTTCAACAAAACAGTCTTACTGGAGATGCTGAGCGTCATCGAGTCCAACCTTGAAGGCCCGGAGCCGTGGCCTCTGAAGATTCTCCAGACCGCCGAGACCTTTGAGCGCATGTCCGAGTACGTGATCTATGGGACCTATGCCAGCTCTCGCATCCTCAAGGCGCACTCGTACGAGCGCTACGGGTCTCAGGGCCTGCGCCTCTATGGGAAGGAGGAGGCCGTGGCCAAGGGCCGCGACTGCAACGAGTTCTTAATGCAACGGCTGAATTCAGATGGCAAGCCCATCACTGGCTACTCGTACCAGCGAGTGGCTGCAGAGGTATGTTCCATGAGCCTGACACACTTGCAAATGGAGCACGTATAGGACGTGGCTTTGTTGCACTTTTTCCACAAAAAACAGTCCATCGCGGCTGTCTAGAATCGAGATGCATGTCAGACCCACATAGCTGATGCGCTTGAGAGGAGCGCGCGTACGACGTTGCTTTACCTCCGAGTGTTTTCGAGCGGCATGTGGTATTTGAGTGTAAAGCAATCAGCTGCAGGTACCCTGCTGCTTTCAATTCAAACCTCACAGATGTACAGCCAGTCATTATTTCACGGCGGGGAATGCTTCATTCTTCCCAGCAACGACTGGACGACATTGTTGCTGGCCATGTAGCACACGTCAAGCGTGCAAGCCTGCTTTTTGCACGTGAAGCGCCGCCAGAACCGTAGTTTAATTCAAGACTGCGAGGACTCACAGTTGGCCAATACCCAAACAAGTGTCAAACTGCATCTCGGCCAAGGTAGCGCCGTCCTCGTTTTGGCGTGCGAGTGGAGGATACCTCCTGGTACAAGCGAGGGGTTAACGTCTGGTGCAGTTGCAGCCGTTTTGGGTCAGAGACAGAAGCAATGGCGGGCAAGGACGAGGTGTTGAAGGCGGGAAACCCAGGATCAGGGAATTCGGTGCTTCGTCCTTGAAGCCAAGGCAAATGATATCAGGCAAAATAGGGTAGGCTACTTTTCTTTCAACAGCCATGGACGTGCACAGGAGGATTTGTGAAGACTAGTCATCTTGAACTGGTCCCCCGTCCACATCCCTGATTGCAAAAAAGGGGTACCTGAACTTATGACCATTGATGCGAGGGATGAAGCAGCAAGTCCAGAAAGACTATATTTGCTCTAGACCGCCATGTTTGACCCTGGCAGGCGTTGAGGAGCATCCTCGATGCAGGATACCCAACAGAATATACCGTTACCCAATCACGGAAGTCTAGTGGGCCATATCCTGATCCTTTCATCTTGTTCCAAACTGGCAAGGCCACACCGTAATTCTCTTTGCAATTCCCAGGCACAGGTGCTAGTTTTTCCATGAGGCCCATGGAACCAATCATGGCCTGCAGGGGTTCAAAGAGCTACGTTCGCAATGCTTACCCTTGCGAAGGTTGTTTCGGGTATGGGTACCTACAACAGAAAGACACGCCCATGTCCGCCTTCGGAAGGTCAAATCCAGCCCGTTGTTTTACAGGTTCACGAGGGCACGTCTGACGGCTCAGTCGGGCGTGTGGAAGCCCGGCCCGGCTGAGAACCCGAGTTTGCATATCGCTTGTGCCTTGGCCCCTTGGAATGAGAGTCAAGACCCACTTGCTGATGTAGAACGTCGGCTGCACGGATTTTTTGTGGCACAGATCTCAAAGAATGCAATTTCAGGCAGAGGTGTGGTCTTTGGCCAAATCGGAGGTGTTTTGTTTGATGAAAATAGAAAATAGAAATAACAAACAGGCCCGCTATTCTGCTTTCCCAGTCCAGTCCCTTCCAGGTTTTCCAGCAGAACAATGTCGGCGGCCTCATCTCAGAAAGTGTGCTGCTGAAGGCCGGGGGAGTGACGTTGACGTTGGCCTTTCCTGGCTCAACGTCGTTTTGCAGTCGAAGGCGAAACAACAGTGGCTATAGATTTGCATGGGGAATCACAAATGGTTGGTGGATGTAAACCCCACCTAAAAAATGTCCACCAGAGGGTCCCCAATCAACGTGCTGCAGTCAGCCCCCGGCATAAAACATAAATATACATGCACCACACATATATATATATATATATATAAGCGATACAAGTGCGTATATGTAGGTTTCAGCCATAAACCGGCTGAAATCTTTAGCTGCATGCCTACTTTTCACAGACCTAACTCAGGTAAGGATTTCAAAATACAGAAGCCTTACCCCAGGCGTTGTTGTTTGGCGCGCTCAAAGACTTGACTCGCCTCAGCGAGTTGGATGTTCCGAAGCACCTGCACCTAGCCCTAGTCATGGTCGTTTCAAAGAGGGTTGCGCGTTCACTTCACTTGCACTGGCCCTTTGCCTTGCCCGAATTCAGAAATTGCGAGGCCTGCTCCGAAATCCCAGGAGCACTTGTCCGCAATGGACATGTTTTGGAAGTCTTCACCCGGCATGCAGCAGACTTCACCTGAAGATAGTGAAAGCTTCTATCCTCAAACTCAAACCAGTTAGTTTCATGCACGTGTTGCTTCCTCTCGTTGCTTCGTTGCTCAGACAAACTTCTCCAGGGAGACGCCCAGCCAAACGCCCCGACGAAATCGCGAGGCGGGCCTGGCAGAGGCGACGGTGCGCCAGCTGCTGCAGGTCCTCGCGAGGGGGGAGTTGGAAGACCCACACTGGAAAAGGGGGGTGCCAGGTTCACATGTGGGTCGATTAAACCTGGTTAGCTTTTTTCAGCGTTTAGTAGGGTTTTGCATGTAGCCCACTAGAAGTTAAACTTTTAGCGGGGGATCTGAGGACAGCTCAGTAAAAGGGAAAAGAGAAAGAGCGAGGGATAAAGGGATGAGCGAGGAGTGGGTGGCATCTCTTCTTTCGTCATTCCCCTTCCTCTATCCCTTTCCATCTCTCATGTCTCATCACCCACCGTGATAAACTCATGAACTAGGTGGATGTGGGTTGATTAAAAGGGGCGTGCATTGGTTAGAAAATCACGATAAACAGATGTGATATTTCCCGCATGGGACAAGTTTCTCACAGTCAACTCCCTCGTCTCACATGCTGGGTCACCCCATGGTTTTAAGAGACAAGACCAAGGTGTGCTCCGGTAAGCGCAATGAGCGTACAGCCGCCACATGACCCTATACTGGACTTCCATTTTAATAGGAGAAAGCTGCACAAGACATCTCCTTGCCATCGGTGCGTCAGGAATCATGTATCATCAGGGCAGGGAGTTGTGACGTTGGCCAGGAACACAGTCACCCCCAACACCGCAAACACCCACTCCCAACCCACCCCGCCCAACCTACCGACCCCCAACCCACCCACCCACCCCACCCAACCAAACCCACCCAACTCACCCCACCCCCTTTTGACTTCGATCCGAGTTTCCCACAACCTCCAGCCCCAACCCCCAACCCCCAACCCCCAACCCCCATCCCCCATCCCCCATCCCCCATCCCCCTCTTTTGAGCCCACGCCGAGGCGCTTGGCACCGAGGCCTTGCCCTTCAGCACCCTGGTGGATTGGCTCTGGACCGAGGCCCGCTGGCCGCGCAGAGTCCAAGACCAGTGGCCCAGACGGCTCCGAAGCTCCTAGGCCCCTTTTAAAGAAGACGTGGGTCCATGGAGCCCAAGAAAAAGAAACTTCACACCTCCCCAAAAAGCTATGGGCGAAACTCATATTTTCGACCTCTCCTCTTTGATTCGCGGTGTTTTCTTCCTTGGGTCCAGAGGGAAAGCCCCCCGGCTAATAGCAGTTTGAACATAAGCAGTTGGGTGGACCAACGCTACTGCCTCTTCGCGATTCATATATGTTAGGTTCCCCTCTTTGATTCAGCTGCCTTTTTTTTCCTTCCTTTGGCCCACCGAGCAAGCTCTCAAGCAGCTCAGCCGCCCCCCCTCCCCCCCACTTCCCCCCCCCTCCCCCGCGACTGGCTTTCCGCCAGTCCATCCCGGGCGAGCGCATGGCGCCGCAGCCTTTGGCCGCTGCGCCCTCGGACAATCGCGCGGAGCTGGCGCTGCAGACCTTGGCGCTGCTGGCGGCGGCGGCCAGCTGGGCGCTGAAGGCGCGGGCGCGAAGGGCCTCTCGAGAGCTCTAGGTGCAACATGGCCCAAAGTGTGTGATTGTGTGAATCATAGCTTTGCCAAGCGGGTTGCATGGCAGCGGGGGATTTCTGAAAAAAGTGGGTGGGGGGCATTTGTTTATGATTTTTCAGGGGTCTTCGTTTAGGATCTGTTTTTTTCCATCTCCTTTTTGTCAATTGGCTTGGGTTGGGGCTTTACAGATCTGATTTTATTGCTGCTGCTCAGTAGGGAATGTGGGAATGAACCTGTGGGGGGTCCCCGAATCTTCAGGAAACCACCAGAGAGAGATGGTTTATAGTTTATAGTGGGAGTCCCCTTAAAGGAAACCACCAGAGAGAGATAGTTTATAGTGGGCGTCCCCTCAAATGAAAGGAAACTACCAGTTGGATGTGTGTGTGTGTGTGTGTGTTTTTAAAGGAGTGTTCCATGTTTCTTCTTCCCGTGGTATCTCTCGCAGCAAGAAGTCGGTGGTCCACTCGGGTGGTCCACTCGGGTGCTCCGGAGGGCGGTGACGGGGAGCTGCGAGTGGAGAACACCCCGAGCACCCCAGAGGCCTTCCAAGGCTTCACAGTGGCCTTCCTGGCCAAGGAGTCGCTCGTCGCCCCCCACCCAAAAAAAGAAAACAAACAACGATGCTCTAGGGATTGATTCCTTGTCCATTCTTTTCAAAAAAATCGATGTGTTTCTTCTTTTTGTTCAGTAACCAGCTGTTTCGAAACCTGGGTTTTTGGTTTCCTGAAAAGATTCGGATCCCTGGAAAGAATGGGGAAGAGATTTGTGGAGTCACCAGGCCCAACAAATGAAGCGCCAAAAGGTCCCTCCTGGGGTTAGAGGCTTCAAGTTTTGTTAATCAGGGCCAGCAGGAGTTCCCCTCCCACCCTTTTCACGAACCTGACCTTCGGGACCCGGTCCCGAAAAAGGAAATGGTTCTCCACTCCCCGAACAGGTTCCAGTTGAGACGGCCGAAGGCCGCCGGCCGGTTACCCCTTTGACTTGGGTTTAGTCAGGGTGACCCGGCAAGGGAAAACGGACCCAGCTGGTCAGTGGAGTCACAGACAGTGTCTCAACTTAGTCCACATTTCGGGATCTTTCACAGTGGACAAGGTGTGGAGGTGAGAAGTCTGGACGTTGGACCGCGCTGAGAAAGGGAATTGGGGGAGGTGGCAAGTTGCGTGGATCCCATCGAATGCAGCGATTTCGAGCACGGCGGGAGCTTCCGACAATCAATCAATCTATCAATCAATCAATCAATCAATCAATCAATCAGTCAAACAAACTAACTAACTATCACTAACTATCTAACTACCTAACTAACTAACTACCTAACTAACTAACTACCTAACTAATCAACAAAGTATCAAACAAGCTAACAAACTTACAAACAAACAATCAACTAAACAAAAACGAACAACCAACCGCCGGATGCCCAAAAGCCAGGCATCGCACCACACACACACACATGATACGAATCCATGAGTTCGTTTTCACGCGTCGAGGGCCTGATTTTGAGCACGAGCTTGAACAAATAAAAGGACTGGCTCGTCTACTGAACACTGTCCTCTTCTCCTCACTCCCTGAGTTCCTGGACTAAACTTTTGGGAAGACCCTTTTAGTAGTAAATGAGAAAAGTTTGGACTTTTTTTCGGGCCCATCCACTCAGGAAGTGAGTCTCAAGCTGAGCATCAGTCTTTGCTAAGGCAGCCCGCTGAAGTACTGAGAATCTTCCATTTGCTTGAGAACAAGTGTTGTTATTGAAATTTTCCCTGGTTGGTTTTAAAGGGAATCTATCACTACTGGACATATTTATATGTTTTTCCCGGGAGCTGAAGCAAATGGAAGGGATGCTCCGTAGAGCTGCGGTTCTTTCGCGACTCGGAAGGACTTAGCGGCTTGGCCCTCACAGGACTCGAGCCCGAAACGGTGTTTTCAAGCATCTAGGCCGGATGCCCTGAAAGTTTAGGGGTGATCCAGGAACCCCTGGATCAATAAAACCGCTGGTTGAGTTTGAGGGTGCCCCATTTTATGGGAAGTCTCACTTTCCTGGGAAAAACAAACCGCCAGGCCGCCAGGTTTATTGAATCAGGGTCGACAAACTCTCGCGCACGGAGGACAATTCGACCCTGGATGAGTCCGTGGCATTTGCATCGCAGCTCTCCAAGATGATGGAGGCGCTCTGTTTGAACTGAGACACCGGCCCAGAGACCCGTGGGGCATTGTCCTTTTGCAACTTGTCCTCCATTTGCTTAAGAATGTGATTTTTTCCCCTTGTTGGTTTTAAAAGGAACTCATCACTACTGGAAATATTTTTCTTTTTTGCTGGGGCCTTAACCAAATGGAAGTTGTGGCTTTCTGTAAGATCAGCTGTCAAGAAAAGGGTGCCAACCACTGAAGGATTCGGCATGACCCGGATGTATCAACCTGGACAATTTACTGGCAGCCTTCAGCATCAACATCTTCAGGGGTTGTAGACACCTATGTTGGGGCGATTTCCCTTGGAGACACGAACATCAAGTAAGGCGGCGGGCACGGTGTTGATAGCAGCGAAATATGCGACTGGGCACGTTTCACCTCCAAGACTTGCATTCAGGTGTCCCGGAAAGGGGGGGGAATAAACAGTTCAGGGCAGGTGAAAGGTATTGTGAGGGCTCCATGCGCCTTCTCTGGAAGTGGGGATGCTGGATTCTTAGGCATGGCGGAAGGGCCAATCGGCCTGCCAACGCCTGTTGCAAATCACTCGCCGTCCCTTGCTTTCCTGTGGATGCTGGCGAGCTCAACTGGGGGTAAAGCGAGCTCACTATGAAAGTCCTCTATTTGGAGCTCCGAGTCTTATTTCAGGATTTGGAAATCGGTCGCCCCTCGGAGACCCCAATTTGTCCGTTCAGCCTGGAAACTGACGGCCTCATTTAATTTGCTTCATGACATGCTGTGGGGGCACCATTCCCCAAGGAAATGCCGCAACCCGTCGGTAAGGGGTATAGCGAGTTCCGTTGTGTGAGTACAAGGTAGGATTCTGGTTGATTTCCCAAGTTGGGATTGGCCTCAAGTCTTCCTTGGGGTACTCCGTGTTTTGAACCCAAACGGGGCGCGATTCAACTCGTGTGAACCATGGTTTCAACTTTTCGGGTGCCCTTCTAACAGGACAGGTGTTTTTCCCTAGCTGAGAGCTTTGGGTTTTGCACCGATACGCTCCGCGGTCCGCAGCAGATACTTCTGACAGTTCCAGAAAGTTTCCGGGGTTGGAAAAAAGTACCAGCCACGGCCTATGAATTTCGCCATGCGACCAGCAACCCCGGTTGGCCTCTGCCCGTTTTTTCCAGGAGGATCTGACTCACATGTCCCCCTCCCCACCCCACCCCATCCCAACCCCCCCCCCCCCCCCCCCCCCCCCCCGCCCTCCCCCCCCGCCGTTTAAACCGCGAGGAGCTTCTGCTGAGCAGCGTGCAGCTGGAGCTGCTGCCGCGCGAGGAGGCCCTGAGCCGCATCTGCTTCGATAACTGCCGCGCCTTTGCGAGCTCCGCCAGGCCAGAAAAGAACGGATCCCAATCTCCCCACTCCCTTCAAAATGGAATTGGGGGAGGGGGGATTTCGACCCCTGGAATTCCATTTAGGGTTGGAATTCCATTTTTTTGCCTTTTTGGTTGGAAGACTGAATCAATCGAATTGTGGGACGGGGGATGTCTGAATGGGAGTGATATTCGGGGAGTCCCGGCCAGACAAATCCCAATAAAGATTTCCCGCTAGTCACTTGAGCATCTTGAGCCATCTCCTTGAAACCGATTCGGGTAGATGAAGGCATCACATCGGCGAAGGCCTCGGAAAACGATCTGTTGTTCCGGGGTCTTTCATTGTTGTTGTTGACATTCTTAAAACAAAAATGCATGATCGCTTTACGGGAAACGGATTCTTGCCTCAGCGACATTTAGGCCCGTTGCCCCAAGAAGGTGACGGTAAGTGGGTTGGGCACGACACATGATTTGCCGTAAACCACTCTGGAGCCAGAGGAAGTGGGCGAGCTGTTGGTTCGCAGGTGGTTAGCTTTCGTTGCTGGTGGATTGGAATGCCCCCTCGTTTGCTGTTTTCAGAATTGCGCTCCGTCCCAGTGCGCTCCAGAAGTTGCACAGCAAACCGTAGACCGGAAGGATAGCGCACCCTGACGACAGAAGCACGTACACAAAAGGTTCAGCAGGTTTTGGACAAGCATACACTTGGGCCGGAAGTACCCTTCATCTCTTCTTGCCTAGCTTTTTGGGCTGCCGCTTGAATGTGCGCTGGGACTCATCTAGCCACGAGTTTAAGAGAAGGGCATTTCAGTTTACATAGTAGTCGTTGGCGAACATAAATCGAACAATGCTTCATGATGTCTACCAAAGGGTTGATTTTCCACTCAATATTAATTCCCAAATGTTTGAAAGCGAAATGACCTGTGTTTTATGTCCCCTATTTGGGTGATTTGGGGTGCGGTGGTTTTGATGGGCAACCTTTTGTTGAGCAAGCAATCCAGCCCTAGTTCATTGGCTGAGTTCCCCTGCTTCTGGCCTAGTTCGGGTTGCCCTGACGGGGAAACCAACAGTTTATTTAACGCCTGGTAACCGTCATAAAATCCAGCCCAAACTCCCACGCACTTAAATCCGCAGCCAACGGGGTCCGTCTGTTCGTTCGGGTGCATGGTAATCATGGGGAATGGACCACTGTGTCACAGAAAGGGTTTCACCGAAAAGTTGGGGACACCAACAGGAAACCAACCCTTTAAGGGGTCGAAATCTCTACTAGCGTAGGCCATGGTAGGAGGCCAAAACTATGAACAAGTGTGGGGGCTTTGCGGCGAAACAAATCAGAATCCTTGCAGGGCAATCCAAGCCAGCGTGTTTGAATGCGGAGCCTTTCAAAGTAGCCCCGGGCTTGTACCACATGTTCAGGTAAACCTTAATTGGTGAAACCCCTCCTGAACACCAAACCAATCCAAACCAGCTCATGAAATTTCAGGGTCACCTAAAAACTAAAAGGAAAAAAAAGGGAAGAAACACAAACGGCTCAGCCCAAAAAGCGGGCCGGATTTTTTGTTCCTTTCTCCTGCAGCTCCACCCCATAGTTCAGACATGTTCAGACCCAAAATGGGCCGGATTTTTTGGTTTCTCCCGGTGCAGCTCGCACCAGCTCCCCACAGGTGCAGCTCCATGGCCCTCTACAAGGTGGCCCTCGGCGCCGGCGTCGGCGCCTTCTACACCCCGGCCGCGGCGCCGGTGGCGCAGCTGAGCTCCTGCCAGGTGCCGTGGAAGCTCGAGGCGCTGGCGCCAGGCGGGGCTCGACCTGAACTCAGTTGTTCGGTGGCCCCGTGTTTCTTTTTCCCTTTGTTTTCTTTTTGGTGGCTGCCCCACTAAAATGGTCCAAGCCCAAAAACGGGTTCCAATTATTTTTTTCCGGGGTCACTGAACAACTGAGTTAAGGTAGAACTTGTCCATCTGTTCCCATAACTTCATATCTTAATCTCAGAAATAATGGGCAATATGATTACAACTAAAAAGCGAAAGGAATAGATACAGGACTAACAGGTAAGGAATCCTTGCGGGGGGCTGGTGGTGCTGAAGCGACTGCTTTGATGCGTTTTGCCAACTCTTTGGGCACATAGAGTGCCCTTGGTGCATTTTGCCAAGGGATGTTAGGACTGAACAACTTTTTGCCAACTCATGTTGGTTTTCCGTGTTAAACCACGATTTTTTTTTTATTTTATTATATCTTTTTTTTAAGCAGAGCAGAAAAAGCAACCGAGACTGGAGGGATGCCACATCCGAAGCAGGCCACCACTTGGGAAAGCCGTTGTTCGAGGCTTGAAACCGAGGAGTCTGGCCTTGGCTGAAATCAGACCCTTTTGGAGGATTGGTCAACTGGAGGGTTGGAACCGAGTCCAGCCAACTGCTTCGTGCGCTGAACCTCGCGGCTCGCGGTGTTCTGTGGAAAGCTCCCAGAAATCAGAGACCCTCCCAACCCCACCCCCACCGCCCCTCTTCTGTTTCTGCAAACAAGGCCCTGAGACTCGCCCTTACTCCAGGGGGAGGGGAGAAGGGCTTGGAGCCTTGGACGGGGCGTTTGTTTGGGGTGTTTGGGAACCGGTGGTTTTTCTACTGGCCCGGCTCGGGTGTTTGGCTTGAAATAGGGGTTCGGGTTAGAAGTTGCAGGGCTAGGTTTTTAAGGTTGATCTTGAATAACATTGACCACTGTAAGGACACCAAGGTTTTGAAACACATCGTGATGCAGGATGCTCACGCTTAGGTGCTGAGATAGAAGTTGACCTTGCCAGCGTTCTGCGTCTCTTTGGCACCAGCAAGTTTGGCTGTTTACGTTGCATGGGGACGTATATCGCGTACAATGATCGAGGGTTTAGATGTCCCATTTGCCAAGGCCTGTAAGGAACCTTTACCAAGAGTTGCCAGCAACACCCTAAGCGTCGCAAATGGGAACGGTAGACTCAAGGTGATAGCGAAGCTGAGAAAGGGAACCCAAAGGAATCACGGGGTCTTGGGGGGAGGGAGCGGGGAGGGGGGGGGGAAACCAAGTAGTCCTTATCAGCTGCTAAGGCCCTCCCCTCCTCCTCCTCCCTCCCCCCCGCCGCACCCCCTTCTGTGAAACTCGTTTTAGGGGCCCCGTGTTTTGAGAGACCCATTGAGTGTGGCTCAAAATGAGGGTTACTCGGGTTTTAGTCTTCCATTTGCCCTTTGGCGCCATTTTGGCTTCCTCACCATGCCAACCGGGGCATTTTTTTTGATGGTTCAAAGTGGGACTTTGTCCATCCACAGTAGGGTAACCCCAAAATGGGCCTCTTGTTTTTGAGAGACCCATTGAGTGTGGCAAGTTTTAGTCGTTGCTTCCATTTGCCCTTTGGTGCCATTTTGGTACCACATGTTTTGACCCACAGCTACTTTGACACCATGGTAACCATTATTTGTTGGTATATACCGGGGGTCTTCATCCGAAACCAGGGTTTGTTTGGTTTCCATTTGGTCCATCCGAGTGAGGCCGCTTCAAGTTGCTGGGCCCCTCCCTGAATTTGTCGGCCCTGGTGCCGGGCCACTTCGCGAAGTTGGGGGCGCCTTTGCCGCTGGACGTGGGCATCCAGGCGCGCGCGCACGCGCCCAGCGCGTCCCGACTGATCCCTGGAAACCCAGCACTAGGAGCCTAAGGGCCTAAGGGGTAGACAGTTTTTACCACACAGCTAGACAGTTCCTCCCGAGCTAGAGAGAGTCTGTTCTACATGGCAGATATGGGCTCTGCAGTTGAAGTTCTGGTGGAAACGATGCGCCTTCGCAGGGCGCAAGGCTTCGTAAGTCTCGTGCCTTAGGCTTGCGTGCCTGGGAAGCGGTTGGGCCATTGGGGGCTGGCTGCGCAGAATTCTGCAACGACCCATTCCACTGGGGTTTGCCTTTTCTCCAAAAAGACTGCGAATCCCAGCACCAAAGGCACAGCTGGCTTTTCACAGCCTGGATTTGGCTGGGCAAGAGTCGCAACAACGCGAAGGCCGTATGTCGGCGAACGTTTGCTCAAATCGGAGTGGAACACTCTGATTGTTCGGGGGAGAGTCCTGGAGCTGGCAAGACTTGGACTGGCTGACACTCAGATAGCTGGGAAGACAAGGGCATGTATGACCGTAGACTTGGCATGAACCAAAGCCCGCAAAGGGCACCAACATCGCTTGAAACCAACATGGTCAAAAGGTTGACCTACATGTTTCTCCCCTTCATGGCCCCCTTTCATCTTCAAGTCTTTACTTCTTTATTTTGGGTTGTATGTCCCTTCTTGGTTTGGTAACCGTCCAGCCACGCTTTGGACGGGTCTCGGAGGAGTGCAATGCCGCAGCGGAGGCTGGCCAGCAGACCAACATGGCCCTTCAGGCAAATTGGGGGGGCTCGCTGGATCGGCCATGGGGTCGTTTTGGTGTCCCCAATCAGGGAAAAAAAGCAGCAGGGTACAACTTGTGTTGGTTTTTTGGGGGAGTTTGTTTGCGATACCCTTGAAGCTAATCAAAGGAGGGGACACTTTTTGCAATGGAAATCTAGCGGGCATGACTTAGATCGCTGAACTTGGGCGCCAAACCGTACCCTGGATCCATCCCTGGAAGGGAACCAAAGACAGGACTGCCATTTTTGAAGGGGAAGGACTGACAGAATCCGAGAGGGAGCATTGCAAACAGAGACAGGCCGAGTCCATCGACCTTTGCAAAGTGGATCAGGGCATTCAAGTCATGAACACTTCTTTGACATGTACTGGTTTCATTTTTCTTAACTCCTTAACTGAGTTGGTAGTTAGCTGCCCAGGTCACACTTGGTAACACATTTTTCCGAAACTGTAGCAATGCAGGAGGTTGGACATATGCATGGCTGGGCAACTTTGGATCTGTGGCTCCCCTATTGGAGTTGTTGATAGAAAGAAAGCAGGGTTAACTTGGTTAACTTGAGCAGAAACTCACATGCCCAAAGCGAATCGACCTTTTGACCTTGAAGTATCCTCGTTGGTCATTTTTGGTCATGTTTAGAAGAGGTTGATCTTCTCTTTCTGGGTCCTCCCATGTTTGGAGTCCAGGCAGAAACCCTTCAGAACAACACCTTGTCCGAGCTGAGCACCCGCATCGCCGACGCAGCACCCCGGCGGCTGAAGGTGGTGCTTGGCCACGGCAAGTTTTGAGAGCCACGTTCGCGTTTGATGCGAAACGCCCATGATATCAGACGTCCCCGCAGATTGAAAGACCAGAAATCGGCCCAAGCAAGAAATAGAGCAGTTCTGTCTCAATTGGGGCTTTTTTGAGGCCCTTGTTCATTTTCACCTGAATGAAGAAGTGTGATCCAGGAGCCTGTGAAAGCTGTGAGGCGAGCGGTCGCGGGGTCAGTTTACCAGTGGGCCATGAAAATGGGGGGCCAACCTCATACAACACTCCCCCGAAGCCTTTGGCCATGATCCAACTCTACCTTGCGCTTGGGGGAAATGTTAATCCTGTCGAACCGGGTGATATTTGGTAGGGTGACCAAATCTCCATTGGAGCATGGAAGCTGACCAGGCGCAATCAGCAATGTCCGCAGCCCCCTTGCGTGTGTGTGTGTGTGTGTGTGTGCTTTTTGCTTGAGAGTACGGTGTTTGGGGCGGCCTTAAAGGGAATCTGAGAAGGGAAGACACCATGTCGGAAATTTTGAGACACATCCATGAGGCACGGCAGAAGAGCTGTGTGGTAGTGGTGGCTGGCCCCTCCAGCAGCGGCAAGACCACCTTCAGCGCTCGCCTGGTGCTTTGGATCGCAAGGGGCGGGGGCGGGTTTCGAACTTGGAGGTCTGGATATGCATGTCCACTTCGGGTGTGGGTTTAAGCGTCACCTTTGGCTTGGCAACAATTCCTCTTTTTTTTTGGAAAGGCGATGTTGAAGAAATTGCCGTATAAGGACAGTTGTTCCTGAAATGGTGCGAGTCACATTCGCCAGCTGTTTCTGCTTGGGTCTTCTCATGGGACAGTTCAAGGATGATTCTTGTAAGAAAACCTCTTTGATGAGATATTGTCCATATGCATCAATACAATCATCAATGTCAATGATTCCTTCCAACTCAACTGATGATTCATTGCAAAGTTTGAGGCACCAAACAAAAGGATCCTTATCAGGAGCCCATGTGCAAGAGATGATGTCTCTCATGAAAAGGTTCGAGACACCAGGCAGGGCCTTTCGCCGATTGCCAAGCACCAGGAAGTGTTTTGCAAGCGGATGACAGAAATGCTGCGTCGATTCTGCTTTCCGTGCCTGTTGTCATGGGTGTTGTCATGGATGGCCTGCAAGAGGCTTTTCCCCAAATCTCCTTTTCTTGTGTGGGGAGGGGCGGGCGATTTCATACGAGCATCACACTTAGGTTGCGTCCATCTGATGCATGAGAAAGGCTACAGGTCCCACCCGGGGCTCTGGGTTTGAGCCTGTTGGTGTCCTAGTAAAACTCACTAAAAGTGGGTACCTTCACAAAAAGACACCCCCTTCTATAGTCTTATTAGCGGGTGGGAGCCCAACCGTCGTGACCCCACCCAGGAACTTGTCAAGGATGTCGTTCGGCCCCCAGGCATGTCTAAAATGTGGACCCACCCAAACACGCCATGCTTGGCCCTCACGGTGACCCCATATCAATCAACCCCAGTTTAGTACTAGGGGCTACTAGGGGGGTGTTCCCCTCCAGTGGTCGGATTCCCCACTAAACCCAGCGACACCCCCTATGAATAAACTGGGGTTGAAATTCATCTGGGGTCAAACTTTGGCGTCCAGACTAACATGGAAGCTCCCACCCCTTGATAGACAGGGGCCTGGGAGCTTCCATGTTCGGGACACCCCTCGCCCTCGGACGCCCCAGGCTTTGCATCTCCAGGCTCGTGGGGTGGATGCCCGGCCCCTGGAATGCGCCTTGGATCGAAGGTTTCCGAGCTGTGGACGAGCCACTTGGGAGCCATGGTGGAAACCAATGTTCGTTGGGAATTTCAGGGAAATCATCATGCCAGGGTTTTCTAGGTGGTGCAGGATTTCGTCCATGTTTGCCGTTGGGTAATTTCAGAATCGAATTGCCAGGGTAATTTCAGGGGAATCGAATCATGCCGTTGATGGTTTTCTAGGTGCGAAATGGATTTCGTCCACAGTATGTCCCTTTGTCAATGGACACCACCAGGATTTGCTTTCAACTCGTGATTTGGGGAAATCGAACTCCAGGCACGTGACCTCTGAATTTAACCTGGCCCAAATCCACTGGAGAGAATATGTTGCAGAGGGGATTCGCTTATTTGGGGGTTGCATCCCAAGTGCGTGTTGCTGATGTTCTCCATCCACAAGGACACTTGGCCCGCCTGTGGGAGGGCCCGTGCCGTGGGAGGGCCTTGAAGGGAAGCCTGTCTTATGAGGATAGACAACCTTTTTTGGCGAACGAAGCCCAAGTAATTCTGACAGGAAGCATCCAGAGCGGATTTCATACAAAGCATTTCTTTGATTTCTATGCTTCCATTCTTTGCCCCGACCCACTTGCCAGACATGGCCAATCCAAACGAGAGCTCCTAGCCATCGCACAGCTGGGCATCTGGCCATACGCTGGCTGGCTTGAGAGTTGCGTTCGCAAGTTGTCCATTTTGCCGAATGAGCCGGGAAAGGGTCCGCATCAATTTCAGGGTGAAAAGGCGGCTCTCATCTAATCATATCTGATCTAAGGAGGGCCAACAGATTTTTTGGTTTCATGAATGGGAAACCCCCCGAATCACACGGCATTTGCTTCTGGAAAACCGTGATTTCTAGCATATATTTAGTTGCCGTGCATTGGTCCTTGCGCTCTTTTTGCAAATCCACAGGGCAGGGCTTGCGTGGGTGTTTGCATGTGTGTGTGTGTTAGCCCCTGCCACAAGCACAGTGCTGAAGCGCTCCAAGCCTTTGCCGCGCATTGTTCTGTGAAGACCCGACAGGGGCAAGCGGGCTGCAAGCCTTGACAGGGAGTGCGTTTCGCCCTATGGTAGTTGACATGCCTGGAGGTGGCCTTGTTAACCCCATCTAGTACAATTAGGAACCTCTAGGGACTCACCTGCCCAAAGCCGACCTTTTGACCTTTCGGTTGTCCTGTTTGGTGCACTCTTAGGCAAAACCCCAAAAGGTCCACCTTTCGCTTCTGGGTCCCTAAGGGCAACTGGGGGGGGGTGGATGAGACTCAGGCGATATGTACTTCAAGGCCCGCGCAGACCCCACGCATCCCCGGGATGCCAAGGGCGAGCTCAACTTCGAGGCGAGAAATGGCTTTGACTGGTTTCTAGTGGCATGAGTTGGCTTCTCAAAGTTGCTTTTGGGGGGTTCCCCTAAGACCACCTTTTAGAGTCGGTTTGGAGAATGTCCTCAGGGTTGTGGGATCACTCGGGGTTTTTCCAACCACAGAACTGTGATACAAGTTGGAGTCTCCCCCGTTATGTGGTGGGTTGAACGTCTTTGAGGTGTGCCCTTGTTGTATCACAGATTCGTGGATTCCGTTTCAACCACAGCCCTGGTCCACTTTGATGGACCCCACATTGAGTGGAAAGGTTAGCAGGGCACTTCCCTCTCAAATCCCTTTGACTGGGGGCAAAGAGATTTGAGTTTGAGTGGGTAGACCATGAGCTTTGGGCTCCGAGTAAAAGATCAATAAATTTTGCAACCAGTTGAAACATGGCTGGCTTTTTCAACACCAAAATAAAGTTGGACACCACCAGAAAACAAGTTGCAATGTTCAAGTGTATAATGCATCCGGATCCCTGTTTTGAGAGACGACTGGATCCATGAGGACCCCGGCTCATTGCGCATCCACAAGGTGAAGGAGGACTTGGAGGTGGAGCGCTGTTTGGTTAGCTCGTTTGAATGATTTCTCGCCTCCAAAGTGAAATTATCAGATCTCCCCCCGTCCTTTTCGTCCTTTGGCCTGTTTGTTGGGTAAGTGGCCTCAAAATCGATCTTCTTTTCAGAGGCGATCGCTGAATGACCCTTTGAAGTGGTCAGGCGGACGGAAGCCACCAGAGTCGGAACCCTTTTCCAGAGAATTCCCGCAGTGAAGGAAGCGATGGGTCCTGGCAACAGTCTCCGAAGCTTCCCATTCCATCCTAACCTCGGTCAAGCCGTGGTTTAGCCCGTCGAAAGTGGATACATTCCCCAAGTTGCCAGCGAGAGTTGTGTTGCAGACTAGCCTGGAAATGATGCAACATCATTTTTCTAAGCAGCTTTTTTGGCATTCTAAGAGGATTCGGTTGAATGAACAGGAACTTGATGAGGAGGATAAATGCAGAAAAGCTCCAACGGGCACGGAGCTGTTTCAACATTCGGGCGCAAGTGGCCTCACCTCTGGAGTGTTTCGTGGGTGTGGAGGCATGTGAGACTGTTGGACGTTCAGCACCTTGCAGCAAGCTTGCAGCAAGCACGCATTTCCATGCATGGCTGACTACATGCATAAGCGCATCGTGGATTCCACAACCCTCTTTCCAAGGGGGTTCCATTTGTTGCCCTACGATGGTCCAATCGCAAGGATGCGACCCCCCACGAAGGGACCTTGAAAGGACCGGACTGTACTCGTACAGTCATTAGGCCCGGAAAATCACACTTCCAGCTGATTTGGAGGTTCACTTTGTGACAGTTGGTGATTGCTGCGGGGTTGTGACCAAGCCATAAAAAAATAGACGACTGGTGAGCCGCTTTGTTTTTCTCTTCCAACCGGATTTTTTGCCAAGCATCTTGGTGCCGACTCAGTTTCCTGCGTCGCGGAAATCTTTGGTGCTTTGGATCGGGCAAATGGGGAACCACAAGGAATCCGGCGATTTCAGGGGGCTCCCCAGTTTTTTGGAGGGTATACCTCGTTCAAAGGGGGAAGCCACCGAAACACTCAACCACCAGTCCCTCAGAGGGAAGCTGACTGAACGCAGGCCCTGATGGCAGGGAAGCCCGTGGAGCTCCCAAAGTTCTGCTTCAAGACAGGAGCTCCCACTTTCCCCAAGCGCTTCGCCTTTTTTTTGAGTTGAGGGGACGTTTTCTGGAGGAACTCCTTTGGAGGAGTTGGTGAGGGGGGAGGGGGGGAGGCCTAGAAGAACTTGGGCGCTTGCCCTGGGCGACCTGCTCCAAAAACATAGCCTAACGCGAACCTGCATTTGTCCCATCATATTCGCATATGTATACACAAATACATATGCACATATATATATATGGACGCATTTATGTATCTGTATATAGGTGTAGATACACTGTTTTGCAGTGGAATGCGTGTCACTTGCGTTGAATTATGTTCAATTCAGATAAGGCTCATATACACACATCTCGATCCCACTGTCCCAAAGGCTCATATGAGTTAAACCACGACCCAGTTGTATGGATGAATGTACCGGTGCTTGGAAGTTTCTGACCAGAATTTCCTATACAGCCCCTTCCTGCTGCAGGAACAACGGTGCAGATCAAGCACATGCGCCAGCAAGTGGCAAGCAGTGTGAGTGCATGAGGAGGTTCGTCACGTTTAGTGAAATGTTTGCACAAGCCGCTTTTTGAGTCAGCCAGCCAGCGAGCCAGCCAGCCAGGCAGTCAGTCAGTCAGTCAGTCATTCAGTCAGTCAGTTGTAAGTGTATGTTAGAGTGAGAGTCTGCTAGCTATGTTTGCTCCTACGACTGCCCAAGCCCAAGTAGGAACGTGCATGCTCTTAGGCGCGCAAGCTTGTCAATGTCCACCAAATGGCAACGAGGCGCTGATAGATGTGAGCCCTTCCCGGGTTGGTCAACATCAATTGAGGAATATTGAGGAATGCAATCGCCATACTCGGTGCATTGAGCCCGGAAACAAGTGTGGGCACCCACAAGGTGTTTTCGAGAACAATCTGTGCAGGGCAGGGCAGAGACGGTTGGATAAGTCACAGAACTCTGCTATGATTGCATGAAGTTATCGTGCGCACGCTGGCTAGAACTGCAGCAGGTGAAAGCATGTTTGCGAGATTCGCCGTAAGAAATCGAATACTTGTGGGTCTAAACACCAACTAATCTATTGCTGGTCAGGACTTGTTCGCCCATTCAAGACTCCCCTGGAGCGGATGTGCCCTTCACCAACTAGCTTCAATTGCCCATTCTTCATTCCAAAAGGAAGCCAAGAGGCAAACGAGGATCCTGATCCCGTATTTAACAGACAACTACTTGGGCGGGATGGATGGATGTCATATTTTCCGGACCCCGCATTTCACAGACTTCTCAACCAACTTGACAGGAACCATCCAGGAGAAGACGGGGAACATCTTGCAGCTCCCGAAGCAGGCGGTGCTGATCATTGAGGGCATCTTCGGCTTGCACCCCACGTTTTTGGAGGCCTTCGGCAACGTCTCCCTCTTCAAGGCGCATTTCTGGAGAACGAACGCTGGGCCACAGCTTAGCAAAATCAGGGGCGTAGAAAAAGGAAAATGTGGGGAAATCAAGGGGGGGAAAAATCGAGGGGGGGGAAAAATACAGATTCCGTTTTTGGGGGAGAGGGGAGCTAACTGTGTTTGAAGTCACTTTTGTCTTGGCTTCCAATGATTCACAGCGTTCACGCCCAAAATCTCATCTTTGGGAAGCATTTGGCTGTGAGGTACTGGACTGCTTTCAAACCAGGAGCCAGGAGTTCTCCACAAGATTGGTCCACAGGCATTAATTTGTGAGACATGGACAAGACACTGTTGTTTTTTGAGACACGCGTCTCATTCACAGGACTCTATCTCAGTAGCCCCCAGAGGTTTGCCGCCTTTAGGGTTCCCATGGGTTCCCTATATTCCCCTTGGATGGTTTCGAACATCACCGGTTTTGTGCCAAATCAGCAAAAGCTTGGGTTTCCTTGTGCCCAGATGTTCCGGGAAGTCTGCGCCCGATCAGGTGCTGATCGGCCCCTGGTCCGGGGCACGCCTTGGCAACCTCTGCCTGGTGCCGGAGTACCCCGACCCGGGCGACCGGGGGTTCACTGTTGGCCGGCCATGGCAAATTCATGCGGAGGGTCGGCTCATGAAAGCGGAAGGCAGCCGGACCCGAGTTCAGACAGCTTTCGCCAAGAGCCAACTCGAGGCATATGCTTTGAAATGTTCTGTCCCAACTCGGGAAGTCACTACCTGGACTTAAGCCACGCATGTTGCGCAGTAAGCTCTTGATTTGCTGCGTGTGGCTTCTGACTGCAGATGTTGGTTACGACCTTTCTTGGTCCAAAAAGGAGAAGTGCGCCATTCTCCAAATGGAGCTATGGCATACATCCGCACTATTGTCATTTCATACTAAGCTCCATGGTTTACAGCAAGTAAAACCAGAATGCCTCAACGTATTTACGTGTGCAGGTTGGGGAAGCCTTCAATTACCAGGCTAGGTGTGCATCTGCTACAGTTGGGCTACCCTTGGTTTCAACACATGTACAACACAATTGTTTGAAGAGCCTGTTCCTTTTCACGCGTCAGCTGCACATGGTTGTTGTTGGAAACATGTTGCATTTTGGCTTATTGTGGTTTAGTGGTTGGAATCCAACCACTTCACTGCTGCTTCTTTGTTTTTGCTCCCCTTCCAATGTCCACCAAGTGCAAACTTTGCCCCTCCCCAGCCCCAGCTCCGAGGCGCAAGTTCCGGCTCCTGCGGCGTATCGGCCGTGACGTGCGCTCCCGCGGCGTGGATGCTGCGCGGGTGATGCAAAAGTGGCACTGGCACGTCGTTGAGGGGCCCTGTCCGATGTGCGAGTCGTTTGCCCAGTCGTTCCGGGGCTTTTTCTTTTACGGTGTTTTGTTTGGGGCGCATTCCTGACTAGAATGGTCAAGCAAAAAAAGAGCTCCCTTTTCCTGCCACACTGGGCAACTGGGAGTTTGTAAGTTTGCAAGTCTAGTTCTGTGAGTCAAAGAAAGGCTTCGATCCTGGCGCGGGCTGCCCAAAACACACGTCCAAGAAATTCTGGAGCTAGAACCTCAGCTTCCTTTCCAATCGTTCGGCGCCCAGAAGACGCAAGACGCGGAGTGAAGGGACGCAGGCATGGCTTGTCGCAAGGGGCCCGGAATTTCTTCCCCAACAGGGGAAGGCGAGTTGGAATCCCATGGCAAGGCCCCTTGATTTCATAATGACGGTGGTTGATCTAGTCCGATTTGATCGGAATGCAAGAAGAGACAGAGAGAGAGAGAGAGAGAGAGAGAGCGGAGAGAGAGAGAGAGAGAGAGAGAGAGCAAGAAGAGAGAAAGAGAGAAAGAACTCCGCCTCTGAAAAAAGCACATCATGGAGAGAGAGGGCGACATTCTGGAATGTGGTGATGTCACGGCTGCTGATTGCCCTCCGTTGGCAGCCTTTCCATTCAAACTAAAAACAAAGACAGTGCGACAATCGTTCAGATGTCTTCCATGTCGCAGAACTTGTACCTGCTTGTCACTGTGGCCATTCCCCCATGTGCTTTGTAGATGCTCATCGATGCCACGTGTCCAAATGCTCCAAAGAAGAACGATTGGACCTTGTTGGTCAGGCCTGCTGCTGCCCACAAAACGGAGGTTGCCGAACAAGCCTCAGACAAACAGGTGCAATCATGAAACACACCACCATGCAAGTATCCGTATAATTCATTATAATTTTGCTCCTGCTTCTGAAGAATAGGTTGAACGACTCAACGAGCCATGCTTGCCAGGTTTTCTTCTGAAACTTGGCAGCAAGCGAGTGGGTCGCGTTTGCAGGGATCGGCTTGGTGCTGCCCGGGCGGCTAATCTCTAAATCACGGGCCCATAATTTGACACTGATTGCAAAAGAGCCTGCAGATTGGTCAGACCGGCTTGAGCAGTTCACAAGATATGCAGTCCGATTGCCAGAACTTGATGTTGGTTCATGTGCGCTTCTCCAACGCGGAAAGCGTCCTCTTCTCATGGACATAGAGATGGCAGGAGATTGGTGTTTGCTTCAACCGCTTCTCCTTCCCAAGCAATCCTGGTACGTTTGGACTTTCGCAAAACCAATGGTACCGTTTTGGGGTAGGTGCACCACCCATTTACTCTATTTTAGTGGGGATTGGGATGTTCACTGGGGGCACGGGATTTTGACCCATGCCTTCCTGACGTCGCCGAGGGTGAGAATTCATGTTACGCCTTGTCTTTGGTGCATCTTGCTTGGCTGTTGGGACTTGAACTTTTTGGCAACGAATGGGTTTTCCATTAAACCACTAAAAGTTAAACTTTTAGCAGGGGAGCAGAAAGCAACCAAGTATTTCCATGAATAAACCACACAGTTCAATTCGGGGTTCGAGTGTACTCAGGCCAAGTTGCATTGCTTGCCCTGTTTCTCGTGCGACTTGTTCTGTTCGCCGTTTGTGGTTCGATGTGGCGTGATTGCAAGTGGTTGCCGGGAAAGAATGCATTGAGGCTGCTAACCTGTCAAAAGTTCCACTTCTTCACTGAAGAGCCTGTTTTCCTTCTTCTTGGATATTTGTGGTGGATTTCTGCAATTGGTCAGCTTCTCTTTTTCTACGGGGGTAACTGGAGTACAGTGCGGGGCCACCTGGGGCGCTGGCAGCGCTGAGGTCTCTGCGGGAGAGCAGCTGAACATCTTTCCCTACGCCCAGAACCTCAGTTGTTCAGTGGCACCAATTCTTTTTCGATTTGTTTTTTGGTGGCTGCCCCACTAAAAAAATAAACTATTCCCTATTTTTTCCAGGGTCACTGAACAACTGAGGAACGCGGACGTCATCTTCGACTCCACGCTGCACTACGAGCTCCCGGCCCTGCGCGCGGTGGTCGGCCAGGACGTGGCGACTTGACCGATTAAGAAAAGCGGAGAGCGCGGAGAGCGCGGAGAGCGCACGGAAGTCGAAAGATCCCCAGCGACCGTTTTAGGACGCGGCGAAAATGGAAACAAGGGCCACTCCGGTGGCCTTGTTCGGTTGTTTAAACCTCTGGTTTCAGGTCCCCTTTTTGTTTTGGCACTCCGTATGCACGGGAATGGTTTCCCGCTATGGATCGAACAACATAGGGATGAACAGCCCAGTTTCTTGGCTTGAACGACACCCAAAACCCCGAATGGCCCTTTTTGGAAGGTCTCCCTTACTATTTGTCTTCATTTGGGTTCTAGTAAGGCCTCCTCAAACATTGTCTCACGATGTTGGCAGAACCATAAGTAGATAACTTTTTAACTGGCTTTTGGGCATTGCGCAATTGTCCCCAGACGTTCTGTACCCTTCACTGTGCTCAGTGATTTGCTATATGCCTTCTATTCGTCCCATCCGGCCTTTTTCATGAAGAGCGTTTGTCAGCAGTGTTTCTGCACACAGTCACCCAATCTGGTGCTTGCATTTATGATCGCAGACATGTTCCCTGCCATGTCAACTGTCAGGGGCCTGGAAAGACGCCAAAGTCAACATTTCCCAATGCTGAAGTGCGCAAACTGGATGTGTGCGGTCCACGTTGCCACGCGCGCACCCGCATACGTGGCGCAAATGATGTACAATGGGGTTATCTCCGCTGTGTAGTTTGAAGGGCGAATGCGGATCTACACCTTTCTCTAATCTACATGTCTGCAGTATATGTAGATGTATCTGTGCTGATGGCGTGTCCTTGTTGGCGAAGCGTTGTTAGGCTGTTTCAGCACAAGCAGTGCAACACATCATCTAAATTCATCTACAATGAACACACCAGCCGAAGATGTAATGAAGGACAAACAACAACCCAGGCTGCATGATTGTTCTGGGTGCTACACAGGCCACAATTTGGGATTTGTCCAGAAGAAAGCCACCGGCGAGGATATACATGTCTCCATGTTTTCCAGACCCCCTTAAAAAAGCGCCAAGTTTTCGCGTGCACACACACACACACACACACACGCACACACGCACGCACGCACGCAGGCACGCAGGCACGCAGGCACGCAGGCACGCAGGCACGCAGGCACGCACGCACGCACGCACGCACGCACGCACGCACGCACGCACGCACGCACGCACGCACGCACGCACGCACGCACGCACGCACGCACGCACGCACGCACGCACGCACGCACGCACGCACGCACGCACGCACGCACGCACGCACGCACGCACGCACGCACGCACGCACACGCACACGCACACGCACGCACGCACGCACGCACACGCACACGCACGCACGCACGCACGCACGCACGCACGCACGCACGCACGCACGCGCACGCACGCGCACGCGCAACGCGCACGCGCACGCGCACGCGCACGCGCACGCGCGCGCACGCGCACGCGCACGCGCACGCGCACGCGCGCACGCGCACGCGCAACGCGCACGCGCCACGCGCACGCGCACAGCGCACGCACACGCGACGCGCACGCGC